AAGCTTATATAATAACAGCTCCATAAATCAACACTCTGTGCAAGATATCAAATGATAAGACATTCCTGTGGTTAATAAGTCCTAACTGCTCAAATCACAGACTTGACAAATGGCGGAAATGGGCACAAACTAGAGAGCACCTTGGACTTGGGACTGCAGATTGGGGCTATGTCCCCAACTGTGTGGCTTGTCTCTGGGTAACTGAGGAACATTGCTCATTTCAGCTTCCCGGTTGGTTGAAGTTAAGTGAAAATAGCCAGGTAGATTCACATTTTGAGTTTCTGTAGAGTCCTGGGAAAAATGTACATCTCAGAGAATCTTTGTATGTACTCCAATAAAAAAAAATAGCATTAATTCATACTTTGATATTTTTTAATCTGCTACTACACAAATGCTTTTTATAGCAAGAGTTATAATTTGCATCTGTTGCTCATAACATACAGTGTCTGACTCTCTGAAGAGGAGAGCTCACTGATTTAAGCATGTTATGTTTGTTGCAAAAGAAGCTTGAACTGGATTAAATTGGATCTGGACTGGAATAGAACTGATGACCAGTTCTACTGGAGTAGAATCTGATGACCAGATCTTAAGGCAGATTTCCTGGGTTCTTGGGTCAGCATTCCTACTTCCCTTGCTTACACTTGGTAATTGTGAACTTAGAGAAAGAGGCCCTTTGTTTAGGAGAAAATATCCATACAGTTACAAAAGATTACTTAGCAAGTTAATGGCTTTATTGATTTGAGAAAGTAGAAAATTTTTGAGCTCTCAATTTTGTTTTGAAAGAATCTAAAACCTGCAGAAAAATTGTAGAAATAGTATCAAAAACACCCAGACACCTTTCAACTAGATTCACCAATGATTGACTAAGACATCAAAAGTCAGTTGCAAGATGCTTCCCCACTGTGACTTCGGCATTTCTTTCCCCAAGTGCACTCAGAACAATCATCACACTTAGAAAAATGTACATTAATTCACGACCATCTTTACGCTGTCCATGTTTACACTTCCCCATAGTTCCCAAAGCACCTTGCACTCTGCAGTTTTAGTCCCATGGCCGTTTCACATTATCTCATTTTATCTGTGCTTAATAGCTGGCATTCTCTCATAAAAGCAGTCATTCATCCTCTCTTTTGGATATTTTAGATGAGTTGATAATTTATTGCTGTCGTTTTTCTGTTTCGTATCCAAACTGTCTTAAATTTGTCAGCGTGACCTCTTACAAGCTATCTCCTGTATGTGGTGTGTATATGTTTGTGGGTGTACTTTAATGACTCCATTACCTTTTTTTTTAATTATATATATATATATATTTTCCATTACCTTTTTTTGTGGCATTATTTTATTTTTCAAAGACTTCATTCTGAGGGAGCAATTTTAGCATCACTGCAGAATTGAAAGATATGGAGAATCTCATATTTCCTCTTTCCATATACATAGAGAGAGAGAGCCTCTCCTATTATCAATCAACACCCTCTACCAGAAGGTACATTTTTTTTTTTAGAAGGTACATTTTTTACAATGATGATCCTATGTTGACACATCATAATCACTCAAAGTCCTTAGTTTGCCTTAGGATTGACTCTTGATGTTTTACATTATGTATATTTGGACAAAATGCATAATGGTATAAATCCATCATGCTAGCATCATACAGAGTATTTTCATTGCCTTAAAACTTTTCTGTGTTGGGCCTCCCTGGTGGCCTAGGCTCGCTCCAGCCACTGCAGCATGAGTTCAATCGCCAGCCATGGAGCTAACCCACATGGTAGAGCAGACCTCTCCTGTCTCATCCCCTGCTCCCTTCAGCAGTGTAGTTCAGTAGATCTGCCTGTTCTGCTTCCCACTGGTTCTCTGTTAAATCTTGTCAAAGCCACACCTCTGGCCTACATGCCAGTTCTTATATGCATATATAAATAAAAATAAATCTTAAAAAAAAAAAATTCTCTGTACTCTGCCTCTTTAGCCCTCCACCCTCAAGCACTGATCTTTTTAGTGTCCCTGCAGTTTTGTCGTTTTTAGAATGTCACATAACTGGAATCATACAGTGTGCTCACTTAGCAAGGTGCATTTGTTTCCTCCTTGTCCTTTCATGTCTTGATAGTTCATTTTTTTAAAAGTACTAAATAATATTCAATTGTTTGGATGTCTGATAGTTTTTTTTTTTAATAAAGATTTATTTATTTGTGCATACAGAACTGGGGTACAGGCCAGAGGCTCAGGGGCAGTGAGAGGCTTCACCAGAGACAGAGTGGGGAGCAGAACAGGCAGATCAATGAAGTACACTGCTGAGGGGAGCAGCGGGCGGGCCAGGAGAGGTCTGCTGTGTCATGTGGTCACCTCCGGGGCAGGCGGGACTCGAACTCATGCGCAAGTGGCTTTAGCTTCTTAGTGCAGTGCTTGAACCTGCTGCGCCACCAAGGAGGGCCGGATGTCGGATAGTTTATCCATTATCTACTGAAGGACATCTTGGTATTTTCTAAGTTTTGGAAATTATAAATAAAGCTGCCATACCATTAATGTGCAGGTTTTTGTATAGGCATGTTTTTAACTCATGGGCAAATACATTTCAAGAAATATGTAGCTGGAATGTATGTTTGGAGTATGTTTACCATTTTACAACAACTGTTAAACTTTTTTAGTGGCTATATCATTTTTCATTTCCATCAGCAATGTAAGGATCATTCCACATCCTCACCAGCTTTTGATGTTAGTATTCTGGATTTTCACCAATTTGTGTATGTGATATCCTATTGTTTTGATTTGTATTTCTCTGAGATACACAGTTACAGAGCAAGGAGAGGGCCATGCCAGGACTCCCAAACCTGCCCTCTCTAAATAGATTCTTACATCTGCCGCATCAGAACAAAACATATAAGTACCTTAATACAGTTTGTGTGCAATACAGAAATGACAAAGAATACAGTTTCTAAGTCAAACACTCAAAGTTACCCATTACTTTATGGATAAAAGTCTACCAGAAAGGGATTGGCCCAAAGTAAGGTCCAAAATCTTCCACAAGTCTAAAGCATCTTTCAGCAAGGACACATAAAAGGGTCAGAAATGGCCAGACAAGTCTGGGAGAAAGAGCAAAATCAAAATCAGGCTAAATGCTGCCACTGTTAACCTCCCCACGGGTCTCTCACCCACATCTGTTTCAACCAGTCCAGGGCAAAAAACAAGAGCCGCTTCTCATGTCTCTGCTCCACGTGCCTCCCTCAGGTTACCTTCTGGCTCTCAATTCTGCTTCTTTCCTCTTCAGTCTCCTCTTGGGTTCTCCTTCGCCCTGCTCAGATCCACCCTCCTTTGGGTGGAGCAGGGAGCCTGAAATCTTCCTTTTTCCTGGGGACCACACTATTACAATATAATGTGCAACATCTTTTATGTGCTAGCCTTCAATCTGTCTATCTTCTTTGGGATAGGGTTGTTAAAATCTTTGACTGATGTTTTCAGTTAGGTTGTTTTTATATTGTTAAATTTTGAGAGTTTTTTTTTATCCATACAAAAAAAGGTCTTTATTATATGTATACATATAAATAGAAATAAGTATATTGTCTCCTGTGGTGATGTCCGTGGATATATCAGACCTATTCTTAAAATTTAGACGGCTATTACATTAGCTGAAATGAACCAACTATGACTGCAACTATAAAAGAAAAAACCCAGACATTCCCCTAGATGCAAGATGAGCATAAAGTTTATTGTACTGATGTTGTATGAACTTTTTTTTCCTTTTGCTTTTCACTTCATTAAGAACTTCAGAACAGAAAGAGCTACAAAATCACTGTTGGGCAGTTAGATCAGGACTAAAAATGAAGTTAAATCAATCCTTACTTAGTGGTCCATCAACAATGCTGTGGTTACCAAAAGAGGTACCTTCTGGGCCTTGCAATTACCACATTATGCCGCTGATGTGGGATGATGAGAGAAAATGAAAGATGTTAAACAGTCACTCTTTCTTCTTTTAGGGAGATGTCCATTATGAAGTCTGCCTTGCTTTGTCCATAAATAATGCTGCACAGATATCTGAAGGTTCAAATGGACCCAGCTCCAACCCATAGGCAGCAGGAATAGTACTAATAATCCTGCCGGGTCACACAGTTCTCTCAAGTTTCTGCTCCCTGCCCAAACCACTCACCACTCAAGGGAAGAATTTCTACTGTCAGTTCCAGTTTCAGTCTGAGGGCAGCCAGGATCTAGGAAAAGATGGTCTTAATATAGTTCTCCCTGCCCCCCAAAGGGGCCACGGAATTTGGGGAGCAGCATCAATTGCCAAGCATGGGGCTCTCCCTCTCGAAGCCACTGGCTCGCTAGATGAAAGTGAGAAGGGACCTGGCTAACTGGGCTGGCAGAGCCTGACTGGGGCAGATCTCTCCGGGTGAAGAGGATCTCTCGGCCCCTTTAAGCTGGGTGACCAAGTTACTTAGCTGTGCTTAACCTCATTTCCTCTTCTACGAACTATGGGACACTTATATTATCTTCCTCCAAGGAACATTGTGAATGGGAAACCGGCTTAGCTAAAACACTGACCCCTGGTAAACATCAGCTAAGTTTTTTTTTTTTTTTCTTTCTGGCGATTGCCGTTGCCATCGTTTCCCTGTATTAGTCACCACCACGACCACACCATGGCCCTCCTCCCCACACTGCCACCAGCGCCCCATCTCCCACATCGACCTGGGTGATTCATTTATTCCCAGCGCAGCCCTTAGGCAACACTTTTCCTCCAGAGTGACTGCTTCCCAGAATCCAGAAAATCCCCGTGTCCTTTTTTTTTTAACTTAACCCCCCCCCCCCCCATTTCTTTCCTCTCAAGCTCCAGTTTTCTTTCTTGAGCTCAAACTCGGAAAGAGTAAGAGCGACTGGCACCGCAGGCTTAGCCCCACGTCGTTGGCCTTAGACGAGGGTCCACGTCCTCGCACGCCACTGCCCCCTGGCGGACAAAGGCGAGACGCCCTGGCCCCGGGGTTCCAGGGTTCCCGCTTCTGCTTGGTTGCAACCCGCGGTCCCCGCCCCAGCCCGTCCGCCCGCAGGCGCGCCCGCCTGGCTCCCTCCCTCCTGTTCCTGCTCTGCCACTTCTTCCTCTGCCTTCCTCTCGCAGGGACCATGTCGCGACTCAGTTGGGGATACGACGAACACAACGGTGAGTGTCTTCTGCTGATTAGAAGCGGGGGTGTTACTGTGGGCAGTGGGTGATTGAGGGGACAGCCGGATGCCCGAGAGCCTGACGACAGCACGCTGCTGATATCATACTTGCGGAAAACTTTTCGGTTCCTCTTTAATTTGAGCTGTGCTCCCCAAGCCTAAGCAGGAAGCAGAGGCAAGGCTTAGCCTAGTGTAGATTGAGAAAGTGTCTTTTGGAGGGTGTTCAGGTAAGGGTGACATTGGGGGCGAGTCGGGGTGTGTGAGCCCTGTTAGAGTCTCCCCCACCCACAGTCTTCATGTATGCCCATTCATTTTCATTTGCAAAGCTGAGAACTTTCTCTAATAACAGCTACTTATCAGTTAGAGGCATGGAGATCAGATGTCTGATGACATACTTTAATGAATTGAGGACAAGTTCCCTTTCAGTCTTTTAAACTCATTATTCACTTAAGGGAACCACATCATGGAAAATTCTTGAAAATATATTAAAAAATCGTAATAACTGAATTGCATGGAAGATTTAATTTCTTTTTGGCAACCAAAATACTGCACATTTCTTAATAACTGTACACTAAACATTTCCACAGCAGTTTACATTTGAATGCTACTGTTGACTTGGGTTCTTTTGGGGAAATGAAGTTTACTTTGGGTTACCTCTAATTCTCCACTCTCCCTGTCCTTTCAGACTCCCTTGCAGAAATTGAGGATTAGCAAATGCTTATAGAAATTTGAACCTATTGGCAAAATGTGTCTGTTGATGAGGTGACAGTAATAGCAAGCTGTATACTCTTTTCTTGCACATCCTTAAATTATCATAGGTAAATGAATTTACTTGCTTTTATAAATAATAAAATAATCATTATTTAATATAATTGCAAAGTGTCACCAAGAAAGTAAAAAAAGAAAATGAATCACTGTCAAAATTAGATCTGTAAATAATAATAGCAACAACAGTAGTTAGTAACACTGTCCTTGGATTCACATGCATATTATTGACCACTACTAGAGAGTTGCATTTTACAGGTAGCTTGCTTTCACCAAGAAGTAAATTTTAATTTTTATTGTAACATTTTGAGATTCTAATTAATTTACCAGTTGAAAAAGGGTAAGTTTATAACTTTGTAAATGAGAGGTATAATTTGAGAGGATTTCATTTTGACTGAGACATATTTATAATCTTACATTTTGCTAATTTTCACTTTATGTTTGTTTATTAGCTAGTGGGCGCCAACAGTGTCTTCATTATGGTGGAAGACGAGTCTTTTCAGTGAATGTGCATTGACTTCTCTTTAATATATTAGAAAATATTGGTTCTGATGAAGCTAACTTTCAGAAACTTAAAGAAAAATCCACTTAGAAAAGAGCGAGTCTGGACTTCTGCTGGGAATTGTAGGGCCTGTCTCTTCTTTTAGATGCCATCACTTACTGAGGGCCACACCTTCAAGTAGATCAACTTGGGCAAATTTCTCCTGGAAATATGTTGTGTCTTGACTGGACAGGTTTTCTTGTTCTTTTCTCTTAGATATTGGCAAAAACAGTGAATGAGCAGATAGAAGAAAACTTAAGTTGGGAATAGCAGAAATGATAAAATGGAACATATAGAGGTGAAGGATAGGAAGAATGGTTTCACAGTCAATTTATAACTCTTCCACAGCCCTTTATAGTTCTATTATAAAGTTTAGTTTGTATAGTTTAATTCTTATAGTCTAGTTTTTATTGCTTAATTTAAGGCATGTGACAGTTGTTGAAAATTGTATATCACTATGGATATCCACAAGTTCCTGAATCCATCAAGAACCACCATATATTTCTATCGTATAAGTACCACGCATTAACCGATTGCAACACTGGCACTCCAACCATATATTTCTACTTAAAAAACACGTTTATGTGGGTTTAAAGTTGAATGTGTTGGGAAGTTTAAGAAGTTTAAGGCAGGCCTTTTAGAGGCAAGAAGTGATCCTACCATAGTGGTTAATAGATAATGTTGAAAATTGATATAAAGTGGTAATATTTTGTATTCTTTAGGCTTATGTTGGATTATACAAATAATTCTGGTTTTAAAAGTCTAAGTAGAGAATAAAAGGATTGGAAAGAGAAACTTTATTGCAAGGAAGTCAACAACATGTTGGGTTATATGCATTATATACTTGAAATCTAATTCTCAATAGGTTAATTCTTACTTGGTAGTAGTGAAATAGAAAAAAATTTTCACCAAAAAATTATATTATATGCAAAAACAAGTGCTAGAAAGGTAAATGAGACTACTTAATAAAAGGGAAATGTAATCCCTTTTCGATAATAAGTTTTAAGTAAGAACTTCTTATACTCAAATTGCTTTGCAGTCCAAAGTGTGAAATTCATGAGAGAACTACTTTTAAGTCAACCTATGGTCATGTATTAATGCTATGACTATTTGATTTGTTGTCATCTAAAGCAAATGGAAAAAGTTTATGCTTTTTCTGTTGCAAAAATGAAGAGTCATAGAGGCTGTTGATAACTTGATGTAAATGTCTTTCTTGAGTTTTCTTTTAAAATTTTATCTTTTAAAGAGATGTGTTTGTAACAAACATTTGGTCAACTGTCAGACTGTGTCATTTTAATTAGTACTTGAGTTTTAGAGAAATCTAGTTAGTTTATTAGTGAAGTTGGGAGAAACTTACTCATTGACCCTATGCTCTACTTACCTGGTGGTAGCTGTTTAAATTGCAGGTATAGTAGAGGTAATAAGAGCCTCTAACCTATAAAGTGAGTCACATTTTTAGAATCTCTTGGCACTTACTCGAAGTTGCAACCTTGATGCTGATTTTGAGAGTCAGAACTTGAAAAGTGTCCTCCAGAGAAATGAAGAAATGAATTGCCAGTTTATTGGTTCACTTCAGTTACCAAACAGGTATCCTGTTTGATAACTTGCTGTAATTTTGACATTTTCAATAGATGACAAGGTTGACCATTGTTCCTGTGTAAGAATTCAGATGTAGCAAATAAGTAAAAAGCAAAAAAAAAGAATTCAGATGTAGCATTGGCAAAATCACTACAGAAGGACCTACCAACTTGTAGAAAGAGATATTCATTGCCATCTGTTCCCCTGGGGATATTCAACAATTTTAGGTTTTCTGACAAGGTATAGCCATTTTATTGGATTATCTTATGTGGAAAATGTGTGTATTTTCTTAGTATGATTATGGAAATTCACAGGTAACTGAGTTGAGTCCTGGTGATAGTTAAAGTTATCATTTAGTAGTGGAAGAAACCAGGACAGCATCTTTAAGAAACACATCTTTCTTTACTACACAGTTGATTTTTCTAGGCTGTAAACTTGTTGACTTCTGACCTATCACAGCTCATTCTTGGAGCTGAGACTGTATCTCATTGTTTTCAATGATGAATTGTACTGTTGTTTTTAGTTTGGTAAAAGGGTATCTTTGCAAAGAAGTTTATAAAACTTTCAGGATCTTTTGTCTACAAGATTTAGTTTAATTCTGAAAATGAATTAAACTAAAACAAAACAAAAATAAACTAAAACAAACCAGTAGGTTTCCATACCTAGGGTGGAAAACAACTAATCTTAAAAATAAATAAATAAATAAAAGGCAATTACACTAAAATCCTGTGGATGAAGTCCTATTTTATTTGTTTTGGTGTTTTCTTCAAGCTCAAGACCAGTGCATTGTACACAATCAATATTTGTTGAGTGAATAACTTATTTATTCCTTTTCTGTTGACTTATATATTTAAGGTCCTATTCATTGGAGTGAATTTTTCCCTATTGCTGATGGGGATCAGCAATCTCCAATTGAGATTAAAACCAAAGAAGTGAAATATGACTCTAGCCTTCAACCTCTTAGTATCAAGTATGACGCAAGCTCAGCTAAAATCATCAGTAACAGTGGCCATTCCTTCAACGTTGACTTTGATGATACAGAGGACAAATCAGGTTGGCTTTACTTTTTGGTGGGGAGTAAAGGGCTTAGATGACTGGACTATTAATATTCATGCTTGTAACACATGTGCACTGTAATTTTTTGTTAGTATTTTGCTAGAGCTTAGAATAAAAGTTCTGTTCAGTAATTGCACTGGAGAGTATCTTCCACAATATGAATAAATAATTGGCAACAAAATAAAATTGTGTTTTACTTGCTAATTTGTAAACTAAATGAAGAAGGAAAAAAGTATTTCCTTAAAATGAACATTTAATTCATCTTCAAGCTGCCAAAGGAATAGGTGGTATCAAGTTTAAAGGTAAGATGTGAGAGAAGATTGGATAGAATCACATTTTTGGAACATTTTTATGGCTTCTGACAAATTACTTTTACTTTTAGTCTAATAAGATGTTGCTCTATGAATGGAAAATATATCTAAATTTTAAAAAAGTCCTTAACTGGAAGAAAGAAGAACTGGAACTTACTCATTAAGCTCAGGTTTAGTTTAGTGATAATATTCTGTATTTATGTGATGTTAATAATTTTGTGAGTAAAAATTATAAGCCCATACAATTGCTTCTTCATATTTGACAGATGCATTTTCATCAGAGCAGAAGTGCATGCAAATGATTAATACATGGTATTTTCAAATTTTGCTTTACATGTATGTTTACACATATGTATTTATTTGTATGCATATTCAGTTTTCTTTCCTTTAAGCCCAGTGGTGGTGTGATTCTTTATGTTAACGACTATGGTTGATGTAATGAGTACATTGTAAAGGTTGTCCAAGGCACCTAAGTTCAAAGTTTATAACATAATTGTAGTTTGATTCTTTTTATATTGATTCTTAAACATACAAAACCTAAGGTTACCCATTCCTAGTTTTAGACTAAGAAATAATTAATTATTTTGTGCATCACCTAAAATTTTATACTTTGTAAATGTCACCACCTTTAGTCATAAATTGCTCCTCTAATTTGCTCAAAGGTGATCCAGGGCTTCCTGTGGTCCCCACTCTGCTCCTCCATCCTTCCCAGCATCTTCTAGCCTTCTCATCCTCTCTTTCTGCCTTCTCATTTTTCCTCTACCTCCTGTCTGTCAGGGGAATCACATTGACATTTCTGTGAGGTATGTGCCTCTCGCATAAGTGAAGGTCTTTCTTTCCTGTCTAGATCACATTGAAGTTATCAGGGTTAATTGCAAATGAAAATTACAAAGTACTCTGCATCCCGCTGAGAAAGAAAATACAAAATATGGGTCATGATTCTCAATCTTTTTCCTCACGGTAAATGAACAGGATGTTTTATGGTGACGGAAGGAGGGGATGTCAATTAAAAAAAAGAACCACTGTAGTTAAACAAAATGTTGATTTTTTTTCTTTCTCTTTGTTACCTTCTAAAAAATAATTTCTGAAATAGAAAACCTTTAACTTGAATTAAAAAGTATTCATTTGTTGAGAAATTATTATTATTTTTTTAAAGATTTATTTATTTATGCATACAGAGCTGGGGTTCAGGCCAGAGGTCTAGGGATGGCGAGAAGATTCACCAGAGACAGAGTGGGGAGCAGAACAGGCAGATCAACGAAGTACAGTGCTGAGGGGAGCAGCGGGCGGGTCAGGAGAGGTCTGCAGCGTCATGTGGTCCCTTCCCAGGCAGGCGGGAATCGAACTCATGCAGAAGTGGCTTTAGCTTCTTAGTGCTGTGCTTAACCCACTGCGCCACCAGGGAGGGCCCGAGAAATTACTTTTAACCAAAGTGAATTCTGAATCTCACCAGTCAGTGAACCACAAGTATAAACACTTCCCTGTAGCCCTAGGAGGGCTTTAGCTGTGATGCTGTATCTCTGTATTATGGGGAGTCAGTCCTCATATTTTTAATAGTCCTTTCAAGTGGGGGCAGGTGAATGTGAAATTCTTCAGAAAGAATCCCTGTTTGTCATAGAAGAGCGGAAAAGGTAATCTCATAAAGAAAGGCAGGGTGTTCTTACCCCAACTACTGGCCTTTCTGCAAACAGATAGTATCTCATCCTCTGAGAACGCACTCTACCAGCTCTGCTGCTGCCACCCTCAATGTGACCCTATAGACTCCCTGGCTTTTGAGGTCACAGACAAACCCCACTGCATTGTAACTGAGTCTTTATACTCAGTAACTATCAATATCTATTAATAGTAATAATAGTTAAAATAGTTAAAATAATAATAATGTGTGTTCTTTCTGTGGCTAAGTTATGCTGCATTTCGGACAGATTTCAAAAGGAGGAAAAAATGATTTCTTGCTAAGAGAGGCCTCTTAGAAATAACAGTGACTGGATGAATTCAGTGGTTGTTATTTAATTTTCATGAGGAGAAATTGTCAGTTTCTCAGTTACAACTCAGTTATCTAGGCTCTAGCAATCTCGTTTTTTTTTTTTTTTAAATAATATAGTAGTTTCTTTTTACATCATTTTGTGACTTTTTCCATCTCAGTTGTAATCCCTGTGGGCTTCCCATCACCAAATCATCGGTGTGCCATCACCATAGTCCAGTGCACTTCCTCCCTCCCATTTTTGACCCCATTCCCCACTCCACCCCCATAAAATGTCTCTGGTATATAGTTGTTCTTTATTACTATTATTATTATTTTCTCCCCTGGTCCTTTGTGCTCCTGCTATGAGTGAAACCATCTGGTATTTTTCCTTTCCTTTCTGCCTTATTTCACTAAGCATGATCCCTTCCAGCTCCCTCCATGTTGCTGCAAAAGGCATGTGTTTGTCTTTTTTGATTTCTAGCAGTCTAGTTTTAAGTAACTGTCTGAAGTCAACCAAATATACAAGATCCTTAATTATATATAAACGACAGAAAAAGATGCTGGTAGAAACGGATACCTCATTTGTAGTTTTCCTGCCAAGAGGCAAAATAAGAGCTAGGGAATTGAAGCAGTAATCTGAAATTTTATATCATAAAACTCTGTTGTAATCATGGTTCCCCTAGTAGACTATAAATTCCTTGAGAACAGGGATGGCCTTGTTCTTCACTGTATATTTAGCAAAGAATGCAGTGGCTGGTCCACAGTAAGCTCTTAGAAAGTGTTGAATCAGCGCCCTCCCTGGTGGCTCAGTGGGTTAAAACACAGCACTAAGAAGCTAAAGCCACTATCACATGAGTTCGATCCCCACGTGCCCCGGAGGTGACCACATGGCGTAGCAGACCTCTCCTGACCCATCCGCTGCTCCCCTCAGCAATGTACTTTGAAGATCTGCCCATTCTGCTCCCCACTCTGTCTCTGGTGAATCCTCTCGCTGCCCCTGAGCCTCTGGCCTGTACCCCAGTTCTGTATGAACAAATAAATCTTAAAAAAAAAATCTTAATGAGGGAAAATGCACTGTATTTGTACAAGAGTTTAGGGAAATGATTACTCTTTTTTCAACATAAGATGGAGACAATAATATTTATTTACTCACCTTAGTTGAAACGTAAGATGGAGAATTTGATCCTTGAAAACACTAAATCCTTCTCATTAAAAATAATTTTGTTGCCATATTCACTTTATATCATAGGTTAACTGTTTTATAATAGACTTTCTTGAAGTCAATGTCAGAGATAACTTAACCTTGATATTTTTGGACTCATACCCCAGACTCCTGCACAGTTCTCTCAGGAGAACACTACTCCAAAAGAATAATAGTCACAATTAGATACTCACTGATCTCAGTCATGTTTTAAATATTTTAGTTGAAACAGTCAGATGAGGAGTCCAGATATATGCAGGTCAATGCAGTTTTTCTTGCTTCACAAAGCAGAATTTCATTAATCTGCAACTTTTAAATCCTGGATTCAGAGCAACCTTTCCAGAGTCCACTGTTATTCCTGTATATTTCCCTAGTAATGTATGGGTTTGGGTATCACTTTCTTTGTCTAGAGCCAGCTTGTTTACATCTTCTTCCAAAGTTAAGCTCTCTAATCTGCTTTTTACTGTGAAGGAATGACTTTATAGTTCAACTCAGGTCTTAATTCTACAACAGCAAGAAAAAAAGGACAATCAATTTGTTGATTTCTTTTCATCTGTAATTCTAATGCATCCAAATGAAATTATTGCATCAAATGGAGCCATTGAGAAAATGTGTCTTTTAAATTAATCTGAGTCATTTTCAAAACTATTAAAGAAAAATCAAATATTCATTCATCCATCAAATATTCACTGTGCTTGTTCTCTGTAATAGTTCCCGGCTAGGTGATGGGTATGTCAGGGACCCAAGTATAATATAGTTTTTGCCCTCATGAGCATTGTCCAGTGGGAGAAGAAACAGTAAAATCATTCTTTTTTTTTTTAAAGATTTATTTATTTGTGCATACAGAACTGAGGTGCAGGCCAGAGGCTCAGGGGCAGTGAGAGGCTTCACCAGAGACAGAGTGGGGAACAGAACAGGCAGATTGATGAAGTACACTGCTGAGGGGAACAGCGGGC